TGCAGGGCACTTTGAGGTTGCAGTGCCAATCCTACAGGCGAAGAGGAGGAGAACCGATCTGATCCAAGCCAGGGAGGGTCTGGTTGTCTTCTCATTTGACCTGACCTGGATCCAACATTTGTAATGGGTTTGGGTCAGGATGAAGGGCTCTAGTTTGACCGACTTCTCACTTGCCACCTGAGACTTTCATTCTGCAGGCACCCGTGTCCATCTTGTAACTTGTAGAAATGAGGCCTGAATTGGCACCAGTTGGGCAACATTTGCGCTTCCCCATGTCATTTAAAAACCAAATGGATAATTCTGGAAGTAAAGATGGACCATCTGACTATGGAGCACTCTTCTTTTTTTTTTTTTTTAAGTATGATTTAAAAGAAAATGATTCATTATATTTGCCTGACTTTTGTTGTATTTTCCTTGCTCCCCATCAGCAGCTGTCCTGTTCTCTCTCTCTCACTTTTCCCTTCCCAGCAGATTTTTTCCCCTTTGATTGATATTTTGGTGACTTCAGGGTTTTTTAAAGAGTAAATGGAAAATTCTGATTAACTTTTGTACTTGATAACAAGTTTGTCCATATAACATAATGAATAAATAGCAGGTACATATGGACTCAGAAGCAACTAGAATAGCTTCCACATGACTGACAGTAGTAACCAAACAAAGAGAAACGACAAACAATGGGATTTCCATGTAGGCAGTAGTTTTTAAAGTACTTTTCAAATTACCCAAAGATTTCTATAAGGAAGCCATTGTTAGTTTGTGCCCCCAAATGGGGGAATTTTAGTAATCTAAAAGTGCACAATTTGGAATTTAAGCTAAATTTGGAACAGAAGCTAGAGGAATTTTCAGACACAAATATGTGTAGAGATGAAAAATGAAAGCTTAATGTTGCTTCTACCTTTCAGGCCTTTGAGGAAGCACTAGCTACGTAGGTCAGCTGGTTGCAATACTGACTTTATGACTGTCTTTTTTTTCTGTCACAAGATTGTAATTTTGCGTTCCAGAATGAGCCCACATACAACAGTGAGAGCCTCATTTCTGGATGTTTACTCTTAATATAGATGTAGGACTAAAGAGATATAGATAAGTATTAGTTTAGTATAGTTAAGTATTAGTATTAGCTGCAGCCAGGACTGAAAATTATAAGAAGCAGGACTGACTTCATTGTGTGTGTTGCCAACTCTTATGCCCAAACAAAACAAATTATTGTCTACCATCACACCACTATATGCAGAGCTGGTCTGACCATTTTGAGTGCACCCCAAACTTAACTAACTTTAAGCATCTCTGTGGGTGAATTTTAGATGTCCTTCTGCAGAAGATAAGCCCAGCTAAAGAGTCGCGCCTCCCTCCCTTTCCTCTCCACACCCTCTTCCCCAAGCTCAGAACTTACTTGGAGATCTGTGGAAATCTCATGCTGTTCCCTATGTCTCTGACTGCATCTTTGATAGTCATGTCTTTATACGTGTTGTCAGGCTGACAATATGCTGCTGCTTGTCTCATATCTAAAGAAATGGTGATTTAGTCATGGTTTTACACTGAAAGCTTTATTCTGCTGCAATTTCTTTTTAAAGAGACTGTTCTAACGTACATTTAAATACACTGTAGCATTGGGGAGGGCAAACTTTTTGGCCTAAGGGCTACATCTGGGTATGGAAATTGTATGGCGGGCCATGAATGTTCACGAAATTAACAATTCAGAGATATTCAAATAAACTTTCTGTATTAAAGATACATTTTAGTAGAAATAAACATAAAATCTTACTTACATTGTTATGATGGTATATTTATAATAGTATTACAATAATTAAACCACACTTACCCCCTTTCCACACCCTTTCTCTCTAGCCTGGATTTGTTGGGCCTCAGCTTCCAGTCATTGGAACTCATTGAGATTCACCAGCCCCTGCACTCAGAAATCTCCTCCCACGTAGGTCTCCACAGCCCACAACTTTGAAAACCGCCACTGAGCATTCCCGGGCGAACTACTCTGTTTTATCCTCAACAGTGGAAAATTAACACTACTGAAACATCAGTCACCTAAGCCAACAAGTAGTCGGCACGTGGGCTTGCACATTCCAGGCTCTCATGGCGTGTTTGGGTTGTGCAGCCAGAGTAACATGCATGCTGTCATGCAGGTCCTGAACACACAGGGAGTGCTGGGCGGGTGCAATGGGTCAAGTCCCCTACCCTGCTCCCAAGCGGGAGCAGCAGGGCAAGCCCCTGACCCCGTTCCCCGGCAGGAGCGACAGATTAAAAGGTCTGACAGGCTGGATGTTGCCCATGGGCCGTAGTTTGCTCACCCCTGCTGTAGCATCTACACGCAGGTATCTTTGCAATCATAAATGGCTGAGTATACTCCAGTTTAAAAGGATACGGTCTCAGAATAAATACCATAAATAGCCAGTAGCTTTGTTTTGGTGCTCAGGCTGCATCCATTCCAGGCTATTCTTGTATTGTTAGTAGAGCTGGTTGTGTTTAATAATAATTAATAATAAAAGTCTCAAAAGCTTCAATTTCAATGTAAAAATTGTTTTATGAATTCCTCCTCCTCATTTTCTAACCAGTTAGAATGAAAATTTCCACATAAAATGATTTGCAAATATTTCCATAAACTTCATTTTTTGACCACCTTGAATTATTAGTTACATTTTTTAGATGGGGCAACACCAAGGCTTAAGCAGGCCAGCATTGTTCTAACTGAAGCAGGAGTCTCAAGTTCTGCAGGCTCTTTGAGTAGGACAGTGTGATTGGTGGATGGTTGCATTGACAGACAAGCCCACAGTGCTCCAGAATTGGTGGTTGCTAGGTCACCCAGCTTAGAAGCTGGGAAATTCTCTGAAGCCCAGCTAAAAATGTTTAGTTGGAATTATTTTTTCTTAATAGATTCATATTTGGGTGTTAACCTTATGGTCCCTTAACTAAGGTTTCTGCTAAGATTTCTCAACCCAAAAGAACTTCAAATCTAGAGCTAAGTTCCTTTAAGCTTTTTCTTTCAAAACTACTATTTCAGTTCAAGGAAATCCTTTATCCCTAAGAACAGCTTTCAGGAGAGGAAGCATTGGAGTTAACTGACCAACCTATTCACTAGAGCCAGGTAAATTAAATTGGAACAGATTTTGCATTAGTGTTTTGTTCTTCAACCTCTCATTTAGGTGATTTTTGTATAGATTGATTCCAGTTCAGAAGCCCTTTCTTGCTCTGTCTTGATTGGACATCCAGTTGTTAGTATTAATATGAAATATCTTGACCTAGAACTGTACATTACTGTGGGAGAATCTACTGGGATTTTTAATTTTTTACATTATTTAATACCTTAACGTTTCTTTGAATAGGGGAAAGCCATCATGTGTTATAAATGGTTTGTAGGAAGTTGCTTTTACTTTGGCAATCATCATTACTGAGAATTATCAGTAAGGAAGGACATCTGTTGTGTACATGTCATTTGCTTAACTTGAAGTGCATCTTGACTGTTGATGCAAAGTGTTAAGTAGGTGCCAAATTAGCATTTATATTTTTATTTTGAAAAACAGAAAATAATCCTAGCAATATTATTTAGTACAGAAAATGTGAAAACACTGGATAAAACATAATAGAAAACCTGCCCAATAGTAAATTAAAGGCTGAGGTACATGACATGTTAATGATTTAAAATGATTAGAACTAGATCTTTGTCTGAGTAGAGAGATTCAAATGCCTTTTAATATAATTTTAGTTACCTGTCTTCCTATATTCAGTCCATATAGAAACCAATTCAAAGATTTCTTGTTACTCATCACAGTAGTAACTAGGTGCCAATTCAAAATTAAATATTAAAAAAAAAAATCCTGTCTTTATGATTTGAGTCTGCTCCCATCTGCACAGCTAACCTAACTGGAATAATTGTACATATTTATTTTTAAAGCTATAGACATGGGCTGTTATGCGCCCTCCAGAAGAAAATGATTCCAGAGCAGAGAACTCCCTTTGCTTGTCAAAAGTGCTTTGCTCTGCCCTAGCAGTTTTACTTTGAGGACAGATTGTGTTCTGGCTACTTGAAACTGTTATGTCAAACCATGGGCTGAGGTGGTTTCAAACAGCTGTATTCACAGGGTTGGTTAAGGCTTTACATACAACCAACATCTTGTATTATACCCAGAAGCAGACTGAGAGCCAACTCAGAGCTGGTGAAACAAACATTGTGTTCATAGTGGCTTGCCTCTCATAAAAGAAGAGTGGGTATTCTTCCATAACTAAAGTTTGAGTAGTTTTGCTGTAGGCTGAGCACTTCTTAAAATACTTCAGCCTGGAGGTGAGAGCAGCACAGGAGAGGATGCAGTGAAGGAGTTAGAGTATCTGGGCCAGCCAAAGATGGGAAGGCACTTTATACTGCTGCTGCAACCTGGAAATCTCGGAGCACCAATGGGTCCACTAAACTCCTTTGATTACAAACTATTGAGATAAGAGAAGCCATACTATCTCTGTTGAAGTAGCAATCATAATCAGATAGCTTTCCCTTTCCTACCAGCATAATAGGAATTGCTACATCAGACCAGACCAGACCACTAGTCAATCTAGCTGGGGTCGGTACATAATATGTCACCTTTGTATTGAGTTTGATGGCTGTTTTTCATCCAGAGCTCTATTATGGAAAGGAAGAAAATCGTAGAATCTGGTTTCAATCAGGATAATATAGTGTTTGGTGGTGACAGGCTAATGATTGCTGAACTTAGGAGTCTCCATATCTTCGAGGGGCCTCACCTACATTGAACAGACTGGGTGATGTGATGGAAATCCATGAGATGTGTGAGAGTCCTGGCACAATGATTCAGTTCTTCAGACACTCCCAAACAGGGGTGAACAAAGTCTCTATAATTTGTATGCAGTTTTCCTCTGTTTACAAGTAGGCATACACTCTTTGAAGCATATGTGTTGACTCAAAAAATGTCTTCTAGCTGTATTTCTAGTGTTCCAACCAGCTTTGATGATCAGTGGGATTCATAAGTGTCTAACTTGTTTTCCAGAACTTTGCCAAGAATATTTTTGCAATTCTTCAGTCAGTAAAAGCCAGAGAAGAAGGTCGTGCACCTGAACAGAGACCTGCACCGAACACAGCACCAGCGGTAAGAAATAACTCTTCTTATTATGGACCTTGTGGTTGTGGCTCCATAGCTGAGGTTGAATTGAGTAAATAATGGCAAGAATTCTTCTGAAACTACTCTTCATTTTGTTTGGTTCTAATTTAAATAAATTACAGTAACTTTTTCATGCAGAACTTTTCCTTAGATCATCTTTACCTTAAACTGTATATAGTGGTTTTGGAGGAGTTGAATACGCTTCATTTGTTCAATATGTGTTTGCCACTTTCAGAACAGAACAGTTAGTGCCAACTACTATATGTACCAAACACTCACTAGCATTCTGCAGCTACTTGGAAGAAGTAAATTAGATGAGACTATCACCATTTCCAGCAAAATGCCTTGCTAACTGTATTTTTTGACAGAACATTAGTCATGAGCAGCAACAGATCGAACCAGCTGTCCTATGCCTGTGTCAGATCAAAAAGACAGATTTGCTACAGACTAGGGACCGAGTGGCTAGGCAGCAGTTCTGCAGAAAAGGACGTAGGGGTTACAGTGGACGAGAAGCTGGATATGAGTCAACAGTGTGCCCTTGTTGCCAAGAAGGCTAACGGCATTTTGGGCTGTATAAGTAGGGGCATTGCCAGCAGATCGAGGGACGTGATCATTCCCCTCTATTTGACATTGGTGAGGACTCATCTGGAGTACTATGTTCAGTTTTGGGCCCCACATTACAAGAAGATGTGGAAAAATTGGAAAGAGTCCAGCGGAGGGCAACAAAAATGATTAGGGGGCTGGAGCACATGACTTACGAGGAGAGGCTGAGGGAACTGGGATTGTATAGTCTGCAGAAGAGAAGAATGAGGGGGGATTTGATAGCTGCTTTCAACTACCAGAAAGGGGTTTCCAAAGAGGATGGATCTAGACTTTTCTCAGTGGTACCAGATGACAGAACAAGGAGTAATGGTCTCAAGTTGCAGTGAGGGAGGTTTAGGTTGGATATTAAGAAAAACTTTTTCACTAGGAAGGTGATGAAGCACTGGAATGGGTTACCTAGGGAGGTGGTGGAATCTCCTTCCTTAGAGGTTTTTAAGGTCAGGCTTGACGAAGCCCTGGCTGGGATGATTTAGTTGGGGATTGGTCCTTCTTTGAGCAGGGGGTTAGACTAGATGACCTCCTGAGGTCCCTTCCAACCCTGATATTCTATGATTTACATTTTTATTGTTCAGGTCTATGTAGGCATTAGAAAAGCAATGGTTTTGAGTTGTGATGTTTACTGTTGAGTTTTATTAAACTTAATAACTAAATTCTTGAACTCCTAATGGTAATCTGCTATGAAAGCCAATTAATCTTACTTCAGCTTATTTAGATACCTCTGTGTTATATGCCAGTGTACCAGATTGGAGTAGCAAGATGAATTTCAACATTTAAATGCTTGCCTTATGCTGAGTTTCATAAATTGTTCATGGGACTATTCAGACATACGGTTTGGAATGATTGTAACTGTGTGACTAAGTCACCCATGAAAAAGATGCATGAATCGATATTTAGTGCATCATTAGATTGGCAGCATTTTGAAAATGCATTTTAAATGTGCCTTTTTTTCCTCTCAATTTAATCTTGTTCTATAGATTTAGCACCTCTTTAGCTTAATCAGATTTGTGGTGGAGTCTTCTGTGCATGTGGCAGAAGAACCAGCCGTATGTTGTCAGATGACAATTCATTCTTGAGCCCCAAGATGTTAGCAAATGAATGGGATTGATAACTATGGATTTTGTTCATTTTGCTCAGTTAATATGGCTTTCTGTTGTTACTTTTGTCTTGCTTCAGAATGTTGTCAGTTCTTTAGATTTGCATGCCATTAAGTATTTCTTTAAAATATACTATCTTAATAAGAGGTTAAAATGAAGTTAATTAAAAGTACAAACTGTTTGAAAACTTCCACCTACATAATTGCCCAAAACTGTAAAGTCAGTTTACATACAATATTTTCCAAAGTTCAGAAACTAAAATGTGTTAATCAACATACATTTTGAGATGCAGTAGCATATCTTGTTTGCTAATTTGTTTTAGGATCCCACTTTACGGACTAAGCAGTCTATTCCAGCTGCCTACAACAGATACGATCAGGAAAGATTTAAAGGAAAGGAAGGTAAGTTGATCTCACAGTACTAATTAGCATTAAGGAAACACTGCATTTGAGAACTGAAAAGTGAAACTGACTAGTCTGTTTTCATTGTCAAAGCTGAATAAAGTGCAAAGTATAAGCCCATAAATGATGACTGAAACGTCTTCACATGTAGTCTCTGGTAGTAACACAAGCTAGGAATCTTATTTATTAAAAATGATTTTTTAGCCTTAGCCTTTAAAACCGATTGTCTAGTTAAAAACAAAACTTACATGTTAAACACTTTTTTGTTCAGTTTCAAGGCCGAGACAGTGTAAGTAGTTTCAACTCATAGGGCCTGGGTATGCACATATATTAGTCAAGCCAATAGTCAACTTCAATAGTCAATACTAATTAAAAAAAAATCTGATAGAGTATCCTTTAAATAGTATGTCCTGAAATTAAAGGGGGAAAAATCGTTTAAAAAAATAAATAAATAAATAAAAAGTTGAAGGTTCTTCTGTTTCTAATGGGTGCCTCAGATATTTTGGGTCTAGTACATAATATGTTCAGGTCCATTCTTCTTTCCCCTCCCTTGAGAGGGAGTTGGTTGAAAGAGTGGAGATATGCCAACCTATACTTTCAGAGGCACTGATACATACCTCAATGCTGCACTGGTGCTCTTTTTTTTTTTTTTTATTTAACAGTTTTTAAATGGCAAGATTAATTCATAAAGACTGGTGTAGTGTTCGTGGAAATTGCCTCAATAACTTTATAAAGTCAGCCACAGAGCCAGTGACTGGCCTTCAGATTTCTTAGGAGAGAGCAAAGGGAACACCTGGGGATCTTTTCCCTAGGATTGAATCCACATTGTGGAACTGCTAGTCAGCCATTTCGTTTGACGACGTGGGCACTAAGAGTATGTCTTCACTACCGGCTGGATCGGCGGGCAGCGATCGATCCAGCACGGATCGATTTATCGCGTCTAGTCTAGACGTGATAACTCAATCCCCAGTGCTCTCCCGTCGACTCCTGTACTCCAGCTTGGCGAGAGGCGCAGGTAGAGTCGATGGGAGAGCAGCAGCAGTCGACTCACTGTAGTGAAGACACCGCGGTAAGTAGATCTAAGTACATCGACTTCAGCTACGTGAAGTTATTCACATAGCTGAAGTTGCGTAACTTAGAATGACAGTGTAGACCAGGCCTAAGTCTCGTGTGTGTGTGTGTGTCTGTCTCTGTGGTGTTTTTTTTTTAAAGAGTACAAAATTTTGAAAAATTTGGGAGGAGTGTAATTTAATTAAAACCCATGTGGTGCAGGAGGAGCTATGGTTTTTGTATCCTAAACAACAGAGACTAAAGATAATTAGTAGTTCCACTGTGGTTCTCATTACAAATAAGGAATGCATTTTTTTTCTGTACCATACAGTGTACATAATGTGTGTGGCTTCAAATCCCACAGTTCTTCATATTTATAATGTATTTATGTACGCTTCAGTGCTACATTTAATGAGAGACAGTGAGCCCCTTCTCTGAAGTACTTATAATCTAAAGACAAACGCAGATACAATAAAGCTATCAAGTTATGGTTATCTTTTTATGGATATCTTATGGAACTTGGGATTCTGGGAAAGATTTGAAGGAAAAGAGGGCTTATTACTTGGCTTTGAGGCACAGTAACTCTCAGTACCTGAGCCATGTAACTTCCATTATCATTAATGGTGATTAATAATTGAGACAAACCTGGGTCCTCTGCATTCAAAGGTTCCAGCCCATGTGGGTTCTGTAATATATTCTCTGTATGGCTTCTTTTTGATTGGGTGAGATTGAGACTCATGGTGGCTTCTCAGGTACCCATAGCTTTGTAAAAAGGAAATGTTCACATTCTTATTTCTAAAACTATTTCATGTCCTCAAAAATAATAGAAGCCATGGCTTTACATCTTTAAAAACAAAAAGCCCTGTGGGTTTAGCAGAGCATGGTAATAAACACTGACAAACCTTTAAGCAGAACACATCAGCCTTTGACAAAGTGCAAATAATTTTTGGAAATGTAACCATCTGATAAAAAATAATAACTTTCAATGTATGATGTATTGAACATTCAAGTGGAAAATAGTTTTAAGCTGCAAAAACAGTAACACTTCATAACCATCAGCAGCTAAATGTCTACTGCCCTCAGTCTTTTGCTCTGTAGTTTCTCCTTAATATTCTGCAAGTCAAGCAGCTTTGATGCCATCCTTTTAAACTTGTTATGATTCTGTCCTGTTTTTAACAAATTAAGTCTGACAGCTGACTTTTAACAATTAGATTTTATTAAAAATAAAAAAACTGATAGACTGGCATATTCATATTTTTTCTATTGTATATCCATTCATTTTATGGATGAACTCACATGTTAAATATCTAAATGAATGCATAGTGCAGCGGTTCTCAAAGTGTGTGTCGGGACCATATTTTAATGGGTCGCCACGGCTGGGGTTAGACTTGCCGGGGCTGAACATGAAGTCTGAGCCCCACCGCCTGGGGCCAAAGCCCTTCAACTTTGGGCCCCTCCACCCAGGCCTGAAACCCTTGGGCTTCAGCTTTGGCCCCCTTGCCCAGGGCGGCAGGGCTCCGGTGGGCTCAGGCGCTCCCCCCCGCGGTCTTGTAGTAATTTTTGTTGTTGGAAGGGGGTTGCGGTGCAATGAAGTTTGAGAACCCCTGGCATAGTGAAATGCATTTGGAAGATCAATTGGCCTGGGTGAGAGCAAATCATATTGGGCACTAATGCCAGTCTTGAAAACATAGAAGAAAGCATGTTGTCTTGTGTTAAGAGTTGAATATGTAGTGTGGCATTCATTCTTGTTACCAACAGGATTAGTTTTTGTAGGGTTGCCTTTAATATGCTAACTCTCTTTTAGAAAAAGTCAGAATGTAATAATTGATTATAGAAAGAGGAGTGCAGTGTGCTCAAACATGGTGACCACAGCTCTTTCATTTCATGAGACCAGGATCTTTTAAACGACAAAATTCTCCCAATTATACAGATTTCTTGTCTATTGCTTGTATCATATTTTATATACCTGCTTTTACAATTTGAAACCTGTGTCAGCCATAGCAATGTGCACTGCTTGGAAAGACTAATAGTTCACCTATCAGTCAAGCTAGCTACTGTTTGATTTCCATATGGTATAAAATGTAGGGAAGGGAAAAAATCATAATCTTTTCAGAGGGGAGATAATGTGGTTCTGAGCCTTGTTATATCTGGATGGCTCAAGAGCAGTCTGCCTCATTACTAAATTTGTGCTAATTGAAGCACCCACAAAATACAGTTAAGTTAAAAAAGGAGTAAATTGTAGATATGTGCAGCATAGTGATTAAATATGCACACAGTAATCTCATTATTGTAAAAGCAAATAGACTGAACTCTAACGAAATTGATGAGCTCTTTTAAATCAAGTACAATAAACAACCAAAATTTCTGAATTGCGTTTAACAAAACAAACAAAAAAAACCCCCTTCTCTCTCTGTCTCATGCCTAGGCAAGGAGGGTGCAGTTTCCCCATGGAGTTAATTAACACCAAAGAGTAACTGGCTGGCAGTGTTCTTGTTCTTGTGGCTAGGATTGATGGCACTTAGATTCATTAAGCATTTTCTAGTGGTTTCTTACTCTTGTGTAGATACAGTGTGGACATACGGAGGTGGGGAGTAGTTCTGTACCCTAGAGGGAAAAAGAACCTTGTGTTTGGGTTGCGCAGTCCTGGGATAGGAATCCTAGAAACAGCTAAACCTAGAGAGAAGGCATGTGTTGAGCTTTATCTAGTGAAATCTTATTATATTAATTAAGACAAATTCTAGGGAGGGGGATAGGGTATTTTTGGGCTTTTCACAGTATACAAAGTATTTCAGAACATTATTGGAAAAGAAACTACTTGTGCTTTAAAAAGTATCACCTCATTAAGCACTAAATTTTCATACCCTGTACAAAGGCAGAGTACAGAACCTATTAGGAACATAATGCAAAGTCTTGCAAAATGGGGGAACAGATGAATCCTCAACCTGAAGCTGGAACTGTGAAGCTACTCTGCAACTCCTGCTGCAGTCTGTGGGGTATAGGACAGACTTAAGGGAGAAGAATTCCTTACATGAAATATACTAGCACAGCATTTATTTTTAAATATTTCTAGTTCTCCTAATACCATGTTGGTAATAAGTTAAAAACTTTGTGTTTCATATTTATCATCTTTATCATTTACCATTTGATTTTTTTTCTTTTTATCCTTGTACCACATTGTCAGTATTTTAGCAAATTTAGCAATAAAGACCTATTAAGCCCAAAATTTTCAAAAGTGACTAGGAATTGTGTGTCCAACTTTTGACACCCCAAGGGAGCCTGATTTTTTTAGAAGATGCTAAAGTGCCAACCCTCTGAAAATGAGGCCCCTCTAACAAATCTCACGTTGGGCACCCAAAATCATTAGTCACTTTTGAAAATCTCAGCATATAATCACTGGGTGAAATTCTAGGGCCTATGATATGTAGGAAGTCAGATTATCATAATAGTTCCTTCTGATCTTAAAACTCAATATGCTATTAGCATTTGAGAGTAACAGGAAAACTCACTGAATTTTCCTCCATAACGAATAGATATAAGGATAATATACCAAAAAGCATTACTCATGCTGTCCTGAATAACCTGTTAAAAACTGGAACTAAATTATGTATACAACTTGCCACAAAAATAGTGTGTGTAGTCTTTTTAGCTCTTCTATCAGAGGATCTTGCAACATTAGAAGAGTTTCATAGTATTAAACTAACAATTACTGCATAAGGACGTAGATTCTTTTAATCTCAATTTTACTACAGTATTATCCATGGCGGTCTTAATTAGGAAATTGCTTGCTTATGTGGGTTTGTTTCTACCTTGGATATTTCAGTGTGTTGGCTTAGTATGGGAATCAGGTTGCTTGTTAACATAAGCAATTAAAAACATGTAGATGTAAGATAATGGGTTAAAACACTTTAACCTGGCAAGATATGGTAAGTAGACTGCTGAGTTGCAGCCAA